ACACTGAATATGATTTATGTTTGTACTGTGACACCTGTGATACCTTCATCTGCGCTATGTGCGCCGCAACAGATCATCGGTCTGCGGAGCACAATTACAAAAAGATTGATGAATCTTTAAGATCCTTCCGTATGGAAGTCGACGACATTTTGCAAGAGTTTGAGATGTCCAAGAACTACTCCAGATCCACTGAAAAGTCAATCGAACATGCACGAAATAGATTGCAAAACAAACTGGCTCAGGCTCGTAGTGATATTTCTGCAAAGGCGGAGGCAGAGATCGCTAAGATCCGAAACAAAGCAAAGCTTCTCACCAAAAAGGTCGACGAAATCGGTCAGGAGAGAGACAGTGAGTACGAAAAGGCGCTCACGCACAACCGTAACCAGATGGAACGCGCAGATCAGATCGTCACGGCAGTAAATGACTTGATGAGACAAGCCGATAGTTTCGAGCTATTGGAGCTCAAGCCGAAGGTGATGAGCAACTTGGAATTCCATAAGGAGCTCAAATGTGAACCGGTAAAGCTGGATATGACTTTCATCGGGGTCAAATGTCACGATGTCGTCAGTGATACGGATCTTGGGGAAATATTGCTCAAAGAGAAATGGCAGTTGAAGAAAGAGTTCGGCAAGGAAGGCACCGGTCACGGGGGATTCAAAATGACAAGAGGCGTTGCATGTTTCAGCAACGGTGACATCGTAGTATGTGACACAGACCTGAACCAGGTGTCGTTGTTTGCCACCAATGGACGGTATAAAACATCGATTGCTCAGGGAGCAGGTATCAATCAGTTGGAATGTCCTTTTGGTGTTGCAGTGAGCTCTGATGATCTGCTTTTCGTCACGGACAATAATAAAGTGAAGGTTTTTGACACTGAGCTACAGTTTGTTCGCGAGTTTACACCTTCGGCTGACGATGCAGAGGGGCTATCAGAGAGTGACCTCAGTGGTATTGCTGTGGACAAGCAACGAGTAGCAGTGGCTGACTATGGGAGAAAGGTCATCAGTGTCCACAACTCGGACGGATTATTGATTGGATGTACATCAAACATCATGATTCGGTTTTACATAGCAATGAGCAACACAGAGCGGCTTGTCGTCCCAAACTATGTGGAAAAGAGGCTGCTGTGCGTTGACTTTAAGGGCAATGAGGTGTTCAATGTAACGCCATTACTGAACGGAAAACCAGCGAAACCGACTGGTGTCCTGTGCGATGATGATGGGAGCATCTATGTCGCTCTTCACTCTGGGTTCGGTGTCAACGAAGTGCAACACTATGACTCGAAAGGTGCATTCATCGCAACAGTTGCTAAAGGGTTGTACAGCCCTCGTGGAATGGCATTTACTCCCGCTGGTGATGTCATTGTTACAGACGGTCACTCTGTCAAGATCTTTCAGAGGATATAACCTGCTTCACTGAAGACAATCCTGGTTCTTTTGCTAGCCAACTGCGTTCCCTGAAATCCACAAATACTAATGTCCGACAAATTGCAAAACATGTTATTTTGTAGTGATTTTTAAAGTGATTTGTAAAACAACACTCGAATATGTTGTTTCTGATCGAGAAATAGAAAAGATGTTTAACTTTCTTTAAGGCGACCGTAGTGTATTGTTTCCCTACCAATGCTAGATAAAGGCACTCATTAAAGTGTCAAAATATTTTTTTCAAATGGATATTCGACTGAGATTTAAACTTCCAAACAATACGTAACTGGCTATGTCCACTGATATTGGGAGTGGTTACTGTTTTGTTTGAAGTTTACAGTTCTGACGCTGACATTCTGCGGAGATATCGTCCATTTAATCTAAGTAATAAGCTCTGTATAGAGTCTGTTATTCTTTTTACGAATCAAGAGAGTGGGAGTTTAAATGTTTCATGACAGTGAGCTTTTGGGCTTTCTGTTTCGTGCAAAAAGAACATTCGTTTGGTCAATAATTGATGTTTGACGTATACACAGTTGTAAATAACAAGTTATAGCTAGTTTAGCGACTGCTGATGAAATAATAGATGTTAGCACCGATGATGATTATTGAGAAGGCGTATGGAAAACGGATCCAATGAAGTGAGATACATGTTTGTTCTGACCCTTATACCGACTGAAATATTCTGCCATTACTAAGCATTTTGAAATATGTGTTGAGGGGATGCTAATAATTTTCAACCACCCTCAGAGCCTTAGATATGCCCTCTCCATGCAGACTTCATCCAAATTTACACCCACTTCGAAAATCTTAGATGCTTAACTGCTTCACAACCCTTTTGAGTTTATCTTTGTTGTTTTTTCTGGTTCGATTGTACTAAACTACACAGTCGTGAATGATGACACTTTCTATGACCGAAGTGTACAAAAAGACATTATTACCCTATCGACCCAAAATGAACATTTTGTTTTACTTAAAGAGAAAATAATTATAATTGGAAAAAAAATACTTTAAAAAGCTTAATCGTATTAAATACAACCGCTGCCCCAAATTTCAGTTCGTGCTTAATTATTGCATACTAATGCGTTTCGTCTTGTTTCCTTACAGGTCACAGCACGTTTGAAATTACTGCAATGAAAATAAAACATGTTGTTTTATGGTCAAAATGCAATCTGATACACCCAAATGTGTCTATACTTAGAAAGAGAGGGTCAGATATTGGAGCAAATTGTACAGTGTCGTGCTTTGTTATGTTGTAGAGGTCATTCACATCTGTGGCTGTGTGCAGGGAAGATGGGATGCATTATATTTCCTTCCGGTTGTTTATGAGTAATTGCAAACAAATCCATCACAAGATATCACAAGCCATGTCACTTGTCAAATAATGTGCAATGACAATTTTTTTTTTTAATTCTTGTGAATTGATTTGACAATGGATGACTTCTGATTGACATCTGATGACTTGTGATTGACTTCAGATTGTGACTTATTTCTGATGACTTGCGATTGACATTTGATGACTGGTGTTTGACTTTTAATCTTTGAGTACTTCTCTGTTATTAAATTTGGATACAGTTGACTGAACATAAATACATTTTCATATGTATCCTCCCCATGATATCACCCATCAACCCACGTCAGTCCGAATGAACATCTAATCGGAACAAAGGCACGGATTGTCAGCGACGGCGGAATTTTTTTGAAAGTGTTGGGGGTGAGGGGAGACTGAGGGAAGCACCTTCTGGGGTCTACCCGATGTTCCCCAATACCGAAGTTCCCCGATTTTTAGGGTTAGGGTTAGGGATAGGGTTAGGGATAAGGTAACGGTTGGGAAACATCGGTACTTTTTTGGGGAACATAGGTATTGGGGAACATAGGTTTGCACCCGCACCTTCCGACCAAAAAACAGCCGGCCGTTGAAATTTCGAAAAGTTTGTGTGTTTTGTGGGAGGGGGAGATGAGACCTTGGGCTGGACCTCATTTGAAGCTTTGGGGCACATTTTTAGGTGCTGGGCCTTGAGCCCAGTGATGTAGTGCCTTGATGCTGGGCCTTGGCCTTAAGATCAAACATAAATTTCAGATTATTGAAATTAAACCGATTTTATCAGCATACTTTCCACCTGATTCTTTCACATGTGTTTTTAAATGTAAAGATACATTCTTCTTGGACAGAAATAACTTGAAAAAGGCTCAATTGTTTCCAAATCCATCAACTGTTTCAGCTTTCAATACGTTTTAAATTCCCATATAAATGTTCTGTTATTTTCTCACAGACCACAGTATGTTTGAATTCTAAAAACGAGAAAAAAACACAAAAAGCTGAGATCTTTTCATCTTTAAAATGCAACCTGCTACATCATATCATTTGTGTGATTAAAAAAAAGAGGGTCGCATATTGCAGTTAAATTGACAGTGACATGCAACGCCATACTGTTAGAGGCATAGTTTATGCGCGCATGATAGAAGCTGAACGAATCGTACTTTGTCCATATTTTTTTGGAGTTTCAGTCAAGTCACATCACAAGTCAATTTCATGTCAAATCACGAGCCATGCCATAAAGTCGGAGAATATGTTATGACAAAGAAACGTCTAAATTTCTTGTATCTTGAAACTGAATGACCTGTGATTGACATCTGACGGCTTCTGATCAATATCTAATGACTTGTGATGGACTGCAGATGGCTGGTGATTGACTTCTGATCTGTCGTATGACACTTTGGATCCATTTAATTGAATAGGCCTACAAATATATCTTTGCATAAAACTTCCCCAATGAAAGGCCACTGGTGGTATGCCGCTGACTGCCGATGATGGTCCGCTGGCGGTTTGGGAGCGGCGGGCCGCTGGTGGCATGCCACTAACCTACCACTGGCGGACCGCTGATGGTTTTGGTCGGCGAGCCGATGCCGACAAGCCGCTCCCCACCCATCAGTGGTCCGCCGGTGGCTTGCGGACTGGGCATCAACACACGGCCGTCCTAACAAACTTGTTATCAGAACAAATTCCAGGACACTTATCATGAAAATGTCGCGCTGTGTATGCTGATGTGAATTCTGCTCACTGAGTACGTACCTTCACATTGCATTTCCGGATACGGATGTGATATCAGGAAGCCAATTTAAACCGGATGTCTGAGGTTAGGAAACATACATTAATTTGCCTGGACGCATTGGAATTTATATTTAACGAAAGTTAAAAAAAAAAAAAAATCATCAAATTATAGTAAAATAGGCCTATAAATGTAATTATTTATCAATACGTAATAACAACACTTAAATCCAATATAGAAATATATTGATTTCATTCTCATGCGCGAAGATTTGATAAGACGAGTTTTTATTTTCCTGCATATAATATAGTGTCCGTTATGAGCTTCCGTCGTTTTAGGCGGACGGCCGTGTTGCTGTTTGAACTTTGAACTTGAATCCTGAGCATTCATTGTGCGTTAGCACTGCATGGGAAGTGTACAAGTGCCGTGCGATTGAAATAGCAACTGGTTTTCCCCATGATGAGTAAATGGAACTGCACGCAATACTAACTGCTTATGTACTGTTGTTGAACAATGCACGGATCGATGATGTGCACTGTTATGTTAACTATTAAATGCCTTCCACCTAAATCAAAGGCATTTATTGTGTTAGTTTGTGCGACACAAAATAGCAAATGGTTTTCCAATGTTGAGTAAAAGAATTGAGCTGTTGTTACGCCATTCATCGGTCGATAATGCTGGCCTACCTTGTACATGTACATAGCATGCAAGGCTGTAAGGTTTAATGGTAGTTTTGCCGTTCATGTGTTAACAACGGGGATTCTTACGTTACAAAAATGTGGTCAAAGACTTCGGCTATTAAACCGTCTAATCAGTGAAGGTGAGTAAATTGTGTCTTCATATAAATATGCTACCCTGTGCTCTTAAAAAAAATAGATTTCCATTTTTTTTATTAACAAATTTTCAATTTGTATGTTTTGTTTTAACGCAAAAAAATGTAATTTATTCCGGATTTGGACGTCGATCTGCACCCTCTTTAATAAAACATTAATCTTGCGCACAATAATTCATTTTTTTGTGAAGCAATAATTCAATAACTAATCATCTGTGGAATTTTTCGTTTGATGTCTCATTCAAAAGTGAATAACTTTTGTATTTCTAAGAAAATAGCAAACAAAAACAAACCAACTTTTTCCAGGGGAAACTCGAAAATATCACAGGGAATACATTTTTTTAAACATTCGCACGAACGTAGCCTATCAATCGATGTGTGGTTGCAAGGGTTGACCTAGCTAGCTGAACCCTGGGGTCATTGGATATGAATAGTTGGGATGAGTGGACGCAGGCATAATCGAAGGCCGAGGGCATGCTCCAAAACGTATTTGAAATATTCGATTCTTTCTCATTCATTCTAAGGCAATTGAAGAAATGTGTTACGAACATAAGCACCCCATTTATTACTAGGGCCCCATTTTACTTGTATAACATTAGTCCACGGCTAAGGGGGGGGGGTGTTACAACCCCTCAACACCCTCCATTATCCGCCATAGGGTTGAAATATGCGGCTACGTACGCCCCCCCCCTCCCCCAATGCCGCTCGCAATGTTCTTTCCCCAAACGACATCCGCTATCCGCATATAGTGTACATATATGACGTTTTGCACTTTACCTCTCTTAAAACATGAAAAATATATAAAATTAGAAACAAAGAAATAAATTCGAACGTAATGAAATTCGGACTTAATTTCCCAATAACTAATAAAAACAAATAAAACCTCAAAAAAGAAAAGAAAACGAAAAATCGGATAAAATGGTGCTTTGAACCCACATCACGGGGATCCCTCGCGATACAAAACCGCGACCCTACCGACTGAGCTGTCTAACTGCTCGGCCAATCCTGCGCACGTATCTGATAAAAGTGTAGAGGGTGCTCAACAACCATGCAATGTGGATGTTGTTTAAAACACTCCCCGCTCCCCCCCCCCCCCACACCCACCCACCCACTCAACCATGACCAGTCACCATATGCTCTTACTGCTGTACAGTTGAACTTATTTTGGTTGTTTAAGTGACACTGAGTTTTTTCATCTGTTTTAGTTTGCAGATACACGTAGGAAGATGGCGGAAGCTGCAGCAAAAACTGTGCTGGACAAGATCAGCCAGGGGCATCTGGAATGTCCGATCTGTTGCTGTCGATTTAAGGATCCCAAGATGCTGGACTGTCTGCACAGCTTCTGCCTGAACTGTCTGGAAGAGATGATGAACAAAAAGAAGTCAGAGACAGAGAAGATAACATGTCCAGTCTGCAGGAGTGAGACGCAAGTTCCCGATAAAGGATTGCTCAATTTATCTTCGTCTTTCGTTCTTAGTTCTCTTGTCGATGAGGTCAAACAACAGGAGACGCTATTAGGGAAAGTATCGAGACCCACCGCCACGTGTGACTGCGGAGATGACCGGAAGGCCACTTGGAGGTGTCTTGACTGTAGTGATAACCTCTGCCAGAAATGCCGCGAAGCCCATGTGAGGGTCAAGTACACCAAGAACCATCAGATCATTTCATTTGAGGATTGGCACAAATCAGTTATCCCTGGTCCTAAAGCAGATCATGTCAAACCTATCACCCGAATGTGTACGAACCACACTGACCAGGCGTTGTGTTTCTACTGTGACACGTGCGATACATTCATCTGCATTGTGTGCGTCGCAATAGATCATCGGTCTGCGGAGCACAGTTACAAAAAGATTGATGATTCTGTTAGGTCCTTCCGTAGACATGTCGATGACGCTTTGTTGCAGTTTGAGAAGTGCAAGTTGCGCGTCAAATCCACAATCAACTCAATCAAACATGCACGGAATAGATTGCAAAACAAACTGGCTCAGGCTCGTAGTGATATTTCTGCAAAGGCGGAGGCAGAGATCGCTAAAATCAGAAACAAAGCGAAGCTTCTCACCGAAAAGGTCGACCAAATCGGTCAGGAGAGAGACAGTGAGTACAAAAAGGCGCTCATGCACAACTGTGACCAGGTGAAACGCGCAGATCAGATCGTCACGGCCGTAAATGACTTGATGAAACAAGCCGATGATTTCGAGCTTTTGGAGCTCAAGGCGAAGGTGGCGAACAACTTGGAGTTCCAGAAAGAGCTCAACTTATGTGAACCGGCAAAGCTGGATATGGCGTTCATCGGAGTCAAATGTCAAGATGTCGTGGGAAATAAGGATCTTGGGGAAGTCCGTATCAGCGAGAAATGGCAGTTGAAGGAAGAGTTCGGCGAGGAAGGCACCGATGACGAGGAATTCCAGTTTGCAAGGGGTGTCACATGTTTCAGCAACGGCGACATTGTAGTATGCGACTTTAACCTGGAACGGGTATCGTTGTTTTCCGCCAATGGGAGGTATAAATTATCGATTGCTCAAGGATCCGATAGCAATCAGTTGGAATCTCCCGCTGCTGTTGCAGTGAACTGTGACGATATGCTTTTCGTCGCAGACCAATCTAAAGTGAAGGTTTTTGACACTGAGCTACAGTTTGTTCGCGAGTTTACGCCTTCGGTTGACGATGCAGAGGGGCCATTTGAGATTGACATCGATTGTATAGCCGTGGACAAGCAACGAGTAGCAGTGGCTGACTTTGATAGAAATGTCATCAGTGTCCACAACCTTGATGGATCGTTGATTGCAAGCACGTCAAACATCATGGTTCGGTTTTTCATAGCAATGAGCAACAAAGAGCAGCTGATCTTCACAAACTACGTGGAGAAGAGGTTGCTATGCGTTGATTTAAGGGGCAATGAGGTGTTCAACGTAATGCCATTATTGAAAGGGAAACCAGCGAAACCGACTGGTGTCCTGTGCGATGATGATGGGAGCATCTATGTCGCCGTTCACGCTGAGTCTGGTGAGTTCGGAGACGGTGAAGTCCAACATTACGATTCAAATGGTGCATTCATAAAAACTGTTCGTCAAGGGTTGGACTTTCCGTTAGGCATGGCATTCACCCCCGTTGGTGACATCGTTGTCGCAGAAAAACACTCCGTCAAGATCTTTGAGCGGATGTAATCTGCATCAATATATAGACATGTCCCTCGGGTAACCAAATACGTTGCCTGAAACCAACGAACATCTACGAGATGTGTGGAGCAATCGTGTAGACCAGATTATAATTGGCAGTTATATAACAGATTTTAAAAACAACCACGGAATACTTTTGTTTCTGATCGAGAAATAAAATAGACTTTCGTTGAGTCGACTGTATCGAATGGGAGACCTGTCAGTGGTCGAGACACTCATTAATTCGGCAAATATTTTACTAATGGATATTCGATTGACCTTATAGTTATAAACTTCCAAATAACAATACGTAATCGACAATGTCCGCTGTTATCTGGAGTAGCTTCTGTATATTTTCCAGTTTGCAGATCAAATGATGACAATTTGTGGAGAGATCTTCGATTGTTCTGAGTTAAAGATGTATTGCCCGTGCCATATTCGAATTTCCACCCGAAAGACATACTTTTTTCAATTGTTTTTTTTTTCAAATCCTATTCACTTGGAATGAGATATTGAAGAAAAGCAATCCTCCGACGTTTACATATTAAATTATTTATTAACAAAATACATGCATACAAATTAAAATTCGAAAGGAGGAAAAAAGTCCTTTTTTTGGCAGAGGATGGGGTATCATCTTAATTTAGCTCTGTATATTTTGCGTATATTCTTTTATTTAAAAAAAAAAGAAGGCAGTTCTATTCAATAAATTATGTTTGAGCTAAAAAAAAGAAGAAGCTGTATATTGTGCGCATGTAAATATTAAATGTAAACGGACCGAACATCAACTTTAGATAATACAAATTAGACCCGTCTTATCAGTATCATTTTTCAAACTCGTTGGACGTTGTTTCGTATTCAACATTTGGGATGAGAGTTTGTTACTGAAGAGAACATTCGTAATGAAAAGAAATGACTCAAAAAATAACTCAGCCACTGCGTAAAATCTCACTTCGTTTTTAATTCTCTTATAAAAATCAGCTACGTTGTTTCCTCAATATACCACATCAGATTTAAAAGGACAGGAAGAATATATGAATAAAGTTTGTTTTATCTTCAGACAGCAAACACCACAATCTGTCCATTATTTAGAAAGAAACGGTATAAACAGTTCTATCGCGAAGTTCTATGTTACTTTTGATCTATTTGACTGAACATCAATATATCTTAGATCCTCGCCCATGACACCACCCACCAACCAACGTCAGTCCTTATGCACTTCTAATCGGAACAAAATCAGGGACTGTCAGCGACGGCGGCAACCGTTAGCGAGTTGGGGGGGGGGGGGTGGGGTGGGAGCAAAGAACCTTCCGATCACAAAGCCGCCCGTTGAGAAATTTAAAAGCATGTTTATGTGTCGGGATGGGTGGGGGTGCACTGTAAAATTGTGTGGGTCCAAATTAGGTTGCTCAACAACTAATTGTTTGGGTCAGAATTTTTGCTAATTCAACCAAAACTGAAGTTGTGGTCATACAAGACCAAATTAAATATTGTCTTGTTTGTTCACAACTTTTGGTTGAATTTAACAGAAATTATAACCCGCACAATTGGTTAAAGAAAAACCCAATTTTGGGTAGTTGCAGTTTCCACCCTCTCGGGGTAATATTAACCCATGCAATATTTCAGTGTGGGGGTGGGGTTGGGGTGGGGTTAGTTGGTGGGATATTGGAGGCTGGACATGATTTAAAGCTTGGGGAGCACTTTAATCCGTTGTTTTTTCTTTTTTACATGCATTCTGCACGCTATCCCGTTGAGACAAAGGGATGAGAACGCTACGGCAACGATTTAAAAACACTACCCGTGTTCTTGTAATATTAACAAAAGAAATGGATTTGAATTTTGTGGTGGTGATGGAGAGGGGGGATTGAAAGGAGGCAAACCCAAAGTAGCCTAATTGGTCAAAGGGGTAGGGGATCCCTACCTTATGCAAGTTGGGGTGGGGATCCGCCCCATCGGCTAACCCCCCCCCCCCCTCCGCCGCCCCTGGGGACTGCACAAAGTAATTTCTCACTGTATCTAGGCGGGTGAATTCTGCGCACTATGTGCCAATTAAGTACTTCTTCAATTATATTTCCCGGTATGCATGTGATATCAGGCAGACTAATTTAAACCGGTTGACCGAGGTGGGAAAATATAATTTATTGGCCCTCGACGCATTAGAAATATATATTTAAAGAATGTTAAAACAATAATGAAATTAGTTAAAAATATAAAATCCAATCATGTGCTAAACATTTCCCGGTAAATAAAAATCATTAGAAAAACATTTGAACTACTTGGTCTCAATGAAATATGAGTGTACTTCATGATACAAACGTTACTACGTCACATATAACCTGATTAAACACTCTTATCCAAATTACACCTCGATTAAAAACGCAAGCGGCGAAGATTTCATAGGGCATTATTTTCCCGTGTGTATATTGTCCGTTTTGAGCTTCCGTATAATGTCACACAGAGAGCGGCTGCTCGTTTCAACTTTGAACTTGAATCAGGTGCATTCATTTTGCGTTGGTTCCCGGGAAGTGTACCAGCCGAGCGATTGAAATAGCAACTGGTTTTTCCCGTGATGAGTTACTGGAGCTGTGGTATCGAATACTGCAGTTCTGTGTACTTTGAACTTGAATGTATTTATTGTGCAGCTACATGGAAGGTATATATGTACATGTATACGGTACTCCGTATTACTGTGCGACACGAATAGCTTTTTTCACCATAATAATTTGTCGCTGCACCATTCATCGTTGAATAATGCAGGCCTACATGATAGGCTACGCTATTGAATGGTAGTTTGCTGTTCTTGTGTGTGAAATGGGAATTCTTACGCTTCACATCTGTATTTGAAGACTTCGGTTAACCGGCGAATCAGCAATTAAGTAGGTGGGTAATTTAGTCCTAGGTTTTTTGTGTTTAGATTTAGGCCTAACATTTTGTATTTTGTGAAATAGTCAGTGTTAGAGTAGTATCCTCAAAGCCGAGCACCGAGTTCTCCGAGTACTTTAGGGGCCGAGTTCAGGGCCGAGTCCAAGTACACTTAAGTCTGTGACGAGACTGAGTCCAAAGCACCGAATCCCAGTACATTCAAGGCCGAGTACTGGGCCTAGTCCGAGTACTTAAGTCCGAGTCTGAGTCCGACTACAATACCAAAAGTACCCCCGAAGAAAAACAAAATAAATAGATAGTTAACAAAGTGAATAGATAACAGAAATTAAAGTAAAATTAAATTAAAACAAACACAGCACGCAATCCATTTATTTTATTTTATAAAGGCTTACACAAACAAAATTGGGTGAATTAAGGAACGACACCGTATTTCAATGGTTCCAACATACAGACAGCATAATATTTGGGGAAAACAGAAACTTTGCAGACAGTTAGTTAACAAAATGAATACAAGAGTGAGTAAAATAGTACAAAGAATCGAGTACAGGCCGAGTCCAAACAATTTTCGAGTACAGCTGGTCGAGTACGGGCCAGGTGATTGAGAGTACTCGAGTTGCACTCGAGTACGAGTACGAGTACTGCAACACTGGAAATAGTTGTGAATAACTTGCATTACATTTGAACATTCCAAGTAGCTTTTCATTAACTGTGATGAGCGAGTATAAACTGGTTCTAGGGATTAGTGTGGCAACCGCTCAATAGCCCGCATAAGCACGCAATGGCACGCAGTTGCCCGCAACGGCACGCAGGGGCCTGTGCAATTAATTGCGGGCAGACCCATGCAGCACGGGGTAGCACGCATGAGCACGCGTGCGCTCGCAGGCGCACGGGGCGCAAGCAAATCGGAATTAATCCACGGGGCCTAAGTGTGTTAGAAACAAACTTACAATAAACACCAGCAAAACCAAATCCATGCTTATTGGAACTAAAATAAAAGTCTGCAGTACTGATCTTAATGTCAATATTGCTGGTAGTCCAGTTGTAAAGGTGCACTCTTGTAAATGTTTAGGTGTTATTATTGATGACACTTTAAGTTGGGGCCTACACGTTGAATACGTGAAGAAAACAGTTTCCTCTAAACTAGGTATGCTAAATGGAATCCGCGACTATGTTCCCAAAGCAGTTTGCACTCTCTACTTGTTAGCTTAGTTTTGCCATCTTTAGATTATTCTAGTACTGTATGAGGAGGGAGGTACCCATCACACGACAATATTCTTAATAAATGTCTGAAAAGAGCTGCGCGGATAATCCTGAAGTGTGCATTCTTAACGCCTTCAGCCGATATGTTTGCTAGTCTAAATTGGATGTCATTTGCTGAAAGAGTAGAGTATAAAAAGGCTATTCTCGTTTACAAATGTATAAACAAAATTACTCCTTTGTATATGAAAAATATGTTTACACCACTTTTTCAGATTCGTGAAACGAGACAATCCACTGATAAGGCATTGAGGATTCCTTTTGCAAAAAAAACAATGTTATGCCTCAAGCTTTGCTGTAACTGGAACAATCATCTGGAATAATTTACATGTGCAGTTTAGAACCATGACTTCACTGGCCTCATTTAAATCTGAACTACTTAAAACGTTCAGTCAGTAATAATATTTCTGCACAAAATTATAATTGGTGTATTTGCCGCTATCGTCTCTGATTATACAAATCTAGATATGTGCTAATCTATGGCGTTAACAAACTTGGTTGCCATAATAATAAGAAGATAATAAGGAGCCGGATGTGAATTTCCCTGTGTTTTCTCCCAAAAGGGTTTTCGCCCCTCCCGTAATCAGCAATTACAGCAATACTTTTTTTCTTTTCTCGATGTTACAAGATAGATCCAAATTGTTCGTGTTCCTTGAATCAACTTTATAATAAAGCATCCATACTGTACATGTAGTTATAATAGTTTTAAAATATATTGTATTTATAATATTTGCTTAACACCTATGCATTATTCAAATAATGTTTTATCTTACTGTATTGAATTTTATTGTATTTGTAATGTATTGCCTAATTATACATGTTTATAGTCATTATTTATTGTATGCAGGGCCCCAATGGAAACCAGTTTTAAACTGTTTGGGCATACCCTGGGTAAAGAAATGGAATAAGTAAATAAAGTGTGATGAGCGAGTGTAAACTGGTTCGCTGTAGTCAATGGATACCCCCTACCCAACCCCGCCCCTGTCCTGCTGTAGCAAATACAGTTACTGTTTCTGAATGAAATAACAGACACGCAGTTTTTGATCTCTTTTAATTAGGACATATTTTTGAAGATGGCGGAAGCTGCAGCAAAAACCGTGTTGGACAAGATCAGCCAGGGTCATCTGGAATGTCCAATCTGTTGCTGTCGATTCAAGGATCCCAAGATACTAGACTGTCTTCACAGCTTCTGCCAGAAATGTCTGGAAGAGATGATGAGCAAACAGATGTCAGAGACAGAGAAGATAACATGCCCAGTCTGCAGGAGTGAGACGCAAGTTCCCGATGAAGGATTGCTCAATTTATCTTCATCTATTTTTCTTAGTTCTCTTGTCGATGAGGTCAAACAACAGGAGACACTATTAGGGAAAGTATCGAGACCCACCGCCACGTGTGACTGCGGAGAAGACGAGACGACCACTTGGAGGTGTCTTGACTGTAGTGATAACCTCTGCCAGAAATGCCGCGAAGCCCATGAGAGGGTCAAGTACACCAAGAACCATCAGATCATTTCATTTGAGGATTGGCACAAATCAAATATCCCTGGCCCTCAAGCAGATCACGTCAAACCTATCACCAGAATGTGTACGAACCACACTGACCAGGCGTTGTGTTTCTACTGTGACACGTGCGATACATTCATCTGCGCTATGTGCGCCGCAATAAATCATCGGTCTGCTGAACACTATTACCAAACGATTGAAGACTCCATTACGTCTTTCCGTAGAGATGTCGACAACATTTTGCCGGAGTTCGAGAAGTGCAAGCAGCGCATCCAATCCGCAAACGACTCAATCGAACTTGCACGAAATATATTGCAAAAGAACGTGGTTCAGGCTCGTATCGACATAATTGCAAAAACGGAGGCAGAGATCGCCAAAATAAAAAACAAAGCGAAGCTTCTCACCGAAGAGGTCGACCAAATCGGACAGGAGAGAGACAGTGAGTACGAAAAGGCGCTAACGTACAACCGTGACCAGATGGAACGCGCAGATCAGATCGTCACGGCAGTGAATGACTTGATGAGAAAAGTCGATGATCTCAAGCTTTTGGAGCTCAAGCCGAAGGTGATGCAGAACCTGGAACTCCACAAGGAGCTTAAGTGTGAAAAGGAAAAGCAGGAGATGTCGTTCATCGAGGTCAAATTTCAAGATGTCGCCAGTGACACGGATCTTGGAAAAATATTCCTCAAATGGCGGTTGAAGGAAGAGTTCGGTAAGGAAGGAATCATTGATGGGGAATTCCAATTCGCCAGTCGTGTTGCATGTTTCAGCAACGGGGACATTGCTGTGACAGACACCAACCTGAATCGTCTATCAATATTTACCTCCAATGGGCGGTTAAAACTTTCATCTACTCAAAAGAGTCTCCAGCCAGAAGCTCCTCGTGGCGTTGCTGTGACCCCAGATGATCTGCTTTTTGTCACAGACCGAAAGAAAGTGAAGGTTTTTGACGACAATCTTCGGTTGGTTCGCGAGTTCACACCCTCTCAGGATGATGCGAGTTCTTTATCCGCTATAGCGCTAGACACAGCTGCAGAACGACTGGCTGTGGCTGACTCTGGCAGGAAAGTTGTTTCTGTGCATTTGCTGGATGGCTCGTTGGTAACAACCATTCCAAATGAAAATGTGAAACTTGGTTTAGAGATGAATAACAGGGAGCGCCTGTTCATTCCGAATACGGATAAGAAAACCTTGTCCTGTGTAGACCTCAAGGGCAATGAAGTGTTCAATATCAAAACACTCATCGACGGAAACCCTGCGGTTCCCGTCGGGGTCCTTTGCGACGATCACGGCTACATTAATGTTACTCTGCATCACGGTAGTAGGGGAAACGGTAAAGTACAGCAGTACGACCCAAATGGATCTCTCGTAGGAACAGTAGCCGAAAAGTTGTACAATCCTTTACAAATGGCATATTCACCCACTGGTGACGTAGTTATCGCAGACAGACATTCCATCAAGATCTTTCAGCGGGTGTGATTTGTCTACAAGTAACCACTCTGCTGGTAACTACCTGCTTACTTAAACCAGGGCAACACTACATCCGCTAAAGGAATAATCGTGTTAACCCAGATTGTGAAACCTGCTCGAAATTGAATGAACTGATGACGTTGTTGTTTCATAAGCTCTTTCAGCAGAGTTGTAATGAGTCACTGATTGTTGTGATTCGAGTCGAGTCGAGTGGCGTCATTTTAAAGAAGTGACTCGACTCGAGTCGAGTCATTAGGTCAAGAAGGTCAAGTCGAGTCGAATCACAGTTCGTAGTCGAGTCGAGTCGAGTCAAAAATTTAGCTCGAGTCAATTCGAGTTACGAATATATAAACACTATAATTACAAATAAAGACACTTGAAAGAAATTAATTTGTATCACTAAAAGTTAACACCAAGTGAAACGTCGGTCTAAGTTATGGGCTATCTGGTTTGGCTTTGGGTCTAGGATTGTTTTCCTTTTAATTGATAAGTAGCCATGACCCAAAAATCATAAAATATATTGGGTTTTTTAAATTTATTTTTGAGGTTTTAAGAGCCAGCAGACAACAAAAATGCAACAAAAACCCAGCTGGAATAATGTATGTCCAAGAAGCATGTATGCACAAAGAATTTAATTTCAGGTGGCCTTAACCCTCCAAATAAAAACAAACATTAAATGTGTGTCTTGGATTTGTCAAAGTTGTGTGTCAGACTTCATACTAGTTAGTCCCAGGCCCCTAATAGCCACTCTAAAAAAAAAACCGTGTCTGAGACACGTTGTAGGTCTTTTTTACGACAAGCGTATTGTGTTTGCAAAGTGACGTAAACATATTTTGAACCGTAATTCATTGCAAATATTTTTCGCAATGTTTTGCTTATTTTTGGGACCCGAGTCTTATTAGCCTTCGCTCGAGTCGAGTCAAGTCTTCTGGTGAGGGACTCTAATCGAGTCGAGTCATTTGCTCACAGTGACTCGAGTCGAGTTGAGTCGAGTCATTTACTCATAGGGACTCGAGTCGAGTCGTGTCACCAAAAACTGTGACTCGAGTGGGACTTGAGTAGAGTCATTGACTCGAGTGATTACAATTTTGTCGTTCGGTATCTTACGGCAGGTGTGATCAGCTTGTGAACCTTGTAAACTAGTGTATTTCCCTGAAAAATTACAGTGGTGCGGCATAGCCCCAATACGCTAACGGCTTGTGAAAATTGTGATAAAAGCATGAAACTTCGCATGGTGGTTTTTCATGCCATGAAGAAAATCTTCAGATATGGAGACATTTCATATTTGACCTCTGGTGATTTTTGAGAGGTTAATGAACTTTACATACTGTATTTATAACTTTTGTTCTTCAAACATTCACTTTCATATGACCCAAGTCTATGTCATAGGTCTTCATACAATGGAAATACTGATCAGATGTGGGAAAAGTTCGTATCTGACCTCTAGTGACCTTTGAGAGGTCAATGACCTTTGTTAACCTGTGTATAGCTGTTTGTAAGATTTAATCTTTAAACTTTTTTTTTTCTTCAAAATTCATGTCTAAATGAAAGATGTTCATGCTACAAAGAGAAGTTTCACATATAGGACATTATGTATTTAACCTCTGGTGACCTTACGAGAGGTAATGACCTTTGTAAAACAATAGCCTACCTATGGATATTAATACGACTTAAAAAATTGTATATGCCACTTTTTTCATGACCCAATTCTAAAACTTGACTCTCTGTGCCATGAAAATAGTTTTCAGATGTGCAGATATCATATTTGACGTAGTGATACCTTCGGAGAGGTCAATGAACTATGTATGTCATGATATGAATTCAGACCCCACAAACAATTTTGAGGTAACCTTTCACCTCTTTTCTTCTTGTTTTATTGGCAGACGCAATATGATGAGATCGGAACTTAAATTTGTCCGTCTGTTTTGTAATGCAAAAATGTACGTATCAAGCAATATTCAGTCTTGTGTATTTATTACACCCTGCTGTATCAATATGGACTTGGATAACCACGTTTTTAACCTTTTTACCAAGCCCAATGGTCATTGTTATAGAATAATGCTTGTCCGACGTATCGCGTATATTCGTTTGCGTCTGCCCTTATAAAAAAGAAAATTGATATCAGAGGTCGTGCAAAAACTTCTTTGGGGTCAGACTTCATGACATGATGAGAATTATTATCAAAAACACTTTTTTTTGCTCTAATTAAACTTCGGTCATGAGAAAGTGGCATTTGCAAGATTAGACTGAAAGACTCAGTAATGACGACTTATTTTTGTACTATCCTCATAAATGAAAAACAACTTACCTGGAATTAAAAAAAAAAACAAATAAAAAAACAAAAAAAGAAGAATACGGAAAGCTATAGGGATTAATTGTAAAAATCGAATAGGATAGCATTTATTTATCGTACATGGAACATATAAGCATGGGGATGTGAAAATATTAGATTCAAAGTGTATCAAACTATATGTAGTTTGTGTTTTTATTTTATTATGCTGACTATAAATACAATCTTTTCCTCGCAAAACTTACCATGTATTTCACAAAACATTTTCAAAAGATGCGAATAACAATGATTAACAATGTTCGTTAAAACCATGCAAAAATAATGAATTAAATGCTTTTTTATATTCAATGTCATTTTTTATAAACAAAATTCATTTTCAAAAAAAAGAAGTTAAATGGAAAATACATGTAAATAACAGGATGAGAAAGCCTGGTCTTTTTTCCTTAATGTGATGCTCAAAACGACTTACTTATGCTGAGATTTAATATTGAAGAAAAAAATCGTTTTCGATTGTACTATTTTTTTTTGGAGACAGGCTGTAGTGGGCTACTGTTGCCAGTCAACGATGATGAAATGCAAAATCCGTGTTTATCTTATCTGTGTTCAAAGCGCGAACGCAATGAACGTTGAGGTTTAGAGCTGAGGTTCTGCCCTTTCCAACAGAACTTTGATTGAAGAATTTTTGTAATAGCCATGGCGAGGTGACGTTTCAGTCGGATGGCTTTATTTGATCGGAATCAATTAATAAATCATGTTTTCAAACATGTGTTTGTAGGAGCATAAATTCATTGGTTTAACTGATGCCATTATATCATTTCGTCAGGGTGTCAAAGACACATTGCAAAAGTTCCATAAAAGCAGAGAGCAAATTGCATTAAACGAAAACTATATCAAACATGCACGAAATAGATTGCAAAAGAAACTGGCCCAGGCTCATACTAATAATATTTCTGCGAAATCGCTAAAATCAGAAACAAAGCAAAGCTTCTCACTGAAAAATTGGACGAAATCCGTCAGGAGAGAGACAGTCAATACGAAAAGGCGCTCACGCACCACTGGAAACAGATGGAACGCGCAGATTAGATCAGATAAATATGTTGCAAATTGAATTTCGGTTTACCTTAGTTTTAAACTTGCAGGTTACAATACGTAATCGACTATGTCCGCTGCTATCTGAAGTAGCTTCTGTATATTTTGCAGATCAAATGATGACATTCAGCGAGGAGATCTTCGAGTAATCTTATTATAGATGTATTCCGTGCCATTTTCGAATTTCAACCCGAAAGATAGACTTTTGTTTTTTCAATCGCTTTTTTTTCCTTAGTGATATAAACCTATTCACTTTTAAATGAGACATTGAAAAAAAATCCACCGACGTTTACATATCGAATTATTTCTTCCCAAAATACATGCATACAAATTGAATATTCGTTGGGAGAAAAGAAGAATCTATTTCTTTTGAAGAGGATGGGGTAGGCATCTTAATTTAGCTCTGTACATTTTGCGTAAATTCTTTTCTTTGTACCCAAAAAGGCAGTTCGTTTAAATAATTGTGTTCGAGCTAAAAAAGCTACGTATTGTTCAGATGTAAATAACCAAATGTAAACAGACGGAATATCAATTTCATATTCTTAGAATTAAACCGGTATTATCAGTTTAATTCTTCAAACTCTTGGATGTTGTTTCCTCTTTGACATTTGGGAAGGAAGTTTCTTAAGGGGGAGAACATTCGAGAATATGCGTAAAAATTAAGTCCGTTGATCGACATGAAATTTGGGCAGTTAAAGCAACACCCTTCTCCATTTGTTCTTTTCTTTTGAAGCAAGTCTCATAAGTATGCCCAAGTTTATGACAAAAACTGCAGATCGGTCTGTTATTTTGCCATGACGATTTCGGCGAATTACTGGCAGGATTAGCCTGTTGCTCTTTGGAGCTCGGCCCTTGGCGGAATTTTGTTCCGACCCAGGACTTGAGTTTGAGGATTTAGGTTTTGAATTTCCGCCATAGTTATGCCATCGTTTTTGAGAGTTAAAAATCGACTGACCAAAAGACTGACGATGGGATAATTCAAAGTCATCTGCCATAATGGCAGCAGCCTCAAGTTTTTCTACTCCTCTATCTGATGAATGAGTTTTGATCTGGTTGGGAAGACAGCTTTTGAACTCTTCAAGTAACATGAGATTACGTAATTTTTCAAAGTCTTTCCCTATTTCTTTGGAATAAGTCCATCGATCAAACTGATTGGCTTTTTCCCTAGCAAACTCTACATACGTCTGATTTTGTGGTCTCTGTTTAACATTTCTGAATTTCTGCCTGTAAGCCTCTGGCACAAGTTCGTAAGCCTTCAAAATCCTTTGCTTTACGATATCATAGTCTGAGCTCTGCTCTGCTGACAATGCGGAATACACCTTTTTTGCTTTTCCCTCAAATACAATGTGGAGTAAGGTGGTCCAATGTTCTTTTATAGGCCACTTAACTTTTTGAGCCAAATTCTCAAACGATGTGAAATATTTCGCAACTTCTTTATGATCGAATTTCGGGACCAACCTGATGTTTTTAGCAAAATCAAAGCCAGAATGACTAGTTTTATTTTATTTTGCCCTTGCAGTTCCAGTTCTTTCATTTTCAATTCGTGATTCATTCTCTCACGCTCAAAATTCAACCTTTGTATTTCTGTTTCCTTTTCAATTTCTCTCATTCGAAGTTGTCATTTTAAGGTTTCCAATTCATGCTGACTAGAGGAAAGTTCGGTTTCAGATTCCATATACCCATTTTCTATGAGTGCCTTACTTACTACTCGATTTAAATGAGCCTTTTTTGGCTCCGCCTATGACCTTAACCTCAAGGCTTTCTGCCAGGGTAACTAGTTCGTCTCTAGACACATCATCTACATCTTGGAACGTCAACTCTGGTCTGCCTAAAAACTCTTCAACTGAGAAACTCATTTTGGCAGAGAGAATTATCACAATGAATATGCGAAAACAAAACAAATACAGGCCGTACACGAAATCTTCGTCAAAGCAACCGTTGATATGGGTTCAAGTTTCGATGAATGTTTGGCTTTCAGTTCATTTCCCGGACAAGCCCCCAATAATACCTGTTACGAAGTCAGATATTCGCTGTTGTGGTTTTTGGGTTGAATAATAATGTAAAATGAGACGGACAAGACAGAACCAATAAAGAAAGGACGACTGAGACAAAGATTAAGTTTCAAAGAACGAAATTAAATTAACTTCTCTCAAGTCAAGAAAATTAAACTTCTACATTAAATCCGAAAATATAATACAATGAGTTATAAATAAATTAAGGGGATACAGGTATCCATAACAAAAGAGGGGTGAGATGAGGGGCGTGGACGGAGCGGTGTGGCGGCTTGAGATCCATGTTGTCGGCTTGAGGTCATCGGAGAGTCAGGTCTTGGTTCCCCGGCATGATAGGGCCTCAGGCTTGGATCTTGGACATCATGGTCTTGGCCTTCATGGTAATGGTCTTGGTCTTGGTCTTGGCTTGATCATGGGTCCCTTGGGCTTGGACCATGTAGACGGCCGGACCGTGGTATTTGGCTGGAGAGCGGCAGCAATGATACGTCCCTCGTGAGGAGTAGGAGCTCTAGCGTGATCACGAAACGCCCAGGTTTATAAGGGGTCATTTAGTCGCATTGATTAAACATGAATACAAGTTCCTAAGAACCCACAAATGTGCGTTACGTGATGTGTACGGCTTGCGTGAATAATTAACTTAGTTTTAGAATAATTAACTTACTTCTAGAGTGACAAGCTACCGAGAATGTTATATATGTGGAGACTGTAAATGTACCTTCGCAAGGTGGGATCGCAGCATTCCAGCGATTGTAACGGGGGGGGGGGGGGCGGGGGCGGGGGAAGACTTGTTTGAAGCGTTGGACCGCCCTTTCCCCCACTCTCTTACCTGTATTCAGTACACGAACCCGTTGAGAAAAAGGGATGAGTTATTTTTTTTTGGGGGGGGGTAGGGGTGTGTGAAAGGTACAAGCACACAGCAGCTGAATTGGTCACAGGGAGTGGGTGAAAATCCCTACGTTGTCCAAGTTAAAACAATAACGAAATTATAAAACACATTAAATCCAATAACGTGATAAACATTTTCCGGTTAATCAGAAAAAAAATACATCCTGTGTGCATGCAATGTCCGTTTTTGGCTTCTGTAGTTTCACCGATTTTAGCTTCTGTGGTTTCACCGTCACACACAGAGCGGCTGCTGCCTAAACTTTGAACTTGAATTAGGTGCATTCATTGTGCGCTGGTACTGGGGACGAACGTGTACCAGTACCGAGCGATTGAAATAGCAACTGGTTTTCCCAGTGATGAGTAAATGGAGCTGCGCGGTATTGAATGCTGTATGTTGCGCCATACACGGGTCTATAATAGTGTAGAGGGACTTTGAACTTGAATTAAGGAGTTTATTGTTAGCTACATGGAAGGTACATGTACATGTACATTATACTGTGCGACAGAAATAGGAACTGGTTTTTCCCATGTTCAGTTGTCGCTGCACCATTCATCACTCGATTATGTAGGCCTAGGGTATATGCAAGGCTACAACATTTAATGGTAGTTTTGCCGTTTCCTGTGTGTAAAAAGGGAATTGTCACGCTAAATATCTGTTTTGAAGACTTCGGCTAACCGGTGAATCAGCAAGGTTGGTGAGTAAACTGTGTGTTTTGTTAAAGTTAACGTCATTTTGTGTGAAATAGCTGTGAATAACATTCATGGCATTTGCATGCACAAGTAGCTTTTCAATCAATGTGATGAGAGAGTACAAGCTAGTTATGTGGAGTCAATTAATGGATACCCCTTCATCACACCTCTATCTGTTGAACAATTGGACTGTTTGTGAATGAAATAACAGACACGCAGTTTTTTTTGTTATGTTTGGTTAGGATATACATTTAAAGATGGCGGAAGCTGCAGCTAAAACCGTGCTGGACAATATAAGCCAGGGACATCTGGAATGTCCAATCTGTTGCTGTCGATTCAAGGATCCCAAGATGTTGGACTGTCTTCACAGCTTTTGCCTGAACTGTCTGGACGAGATGATGAGCAAACAGAAGTCAGAGACAGAGAAGATAACTTGTCCAGTCTGCAGGAGAGAGACGCAAGTCCCTGATGGAGGATTGCAGAGCCTGTCTTCCAGCTTCTTTTTGATTTCTCTGGTCGATGAAATAAACAAACAAGAACAATTATTAGGGAAGGCATTATCTGCTAGTGCGACGTGTGAATCGTGTGAAGATGGACACGATGGTGAATTGAGATGTCCTGACTGCAAGGAGAACATCTGCAAGATGTGCCAAGAGGCACACCAGTTTCTGAGGTGCACCGAGGGCCATCGTATCATTCCAGCACAGGAATTGGAAACGTCGAGTGTTGTACCTACGGATCTTACCAAGACTGTCACTCCAAAATGTAGAAAACACATTGAACAGCCGTTATGTTTTTACTGTGAATCCTGCGATATACTGATTTGTGTAATGTGTGCTGTAACAGAGCACCGATCAGCAGACCACACGTACACTGAAGTCTCTGACGTCATCAAATCGTTTCGTGAAAATGTCAACGACATATTGCATAAGTTCGAGAAAAGCAAAGAGCAATATGCATCAAAAGCAGACTCGATCAAATACGCACGGAATAAATTAAAAATGAAACTTGCTCAGGCTCGTAGTGATATTTCTGCAAAGGAGGAGGCAGAGATTGATAAAATCAGAAACAAAGCAAAGCTTCTCACAGAAAAGGTCGACGAAATCGGTCAGGAGAGAGACAGCGAGTACGAAAAGGCGCTCATGCACAACCGTGACCAGATGGAACGCGCAGATCAGATCGTCACGGCAGTAAATGACTTGATGAGACAAGCCGATGTTTTCGAGCTTTTGGAGCTCAAACCGAAAGTGATGCACAACTTAGAATTCCAGAAGGAGCTCAAGTGTGAACCGGCAAAGCTCGATATGGCGTTCATCGGGGTAAATTGTCAAAATGTCGTCAGTGACACAGATCTAGGGGAAATATTGCTCAAAGAGAAGTGGCAGTTGAAGGAAGAGTTCGGCAAGGAAGGCGCCGGTGACGGGGAATTCCAGTGGGCCAATGGTGTTGCATGTTTCAACAACGGGGATATTGTTGTAACCGATACAACGCAGAATCGGCTATCGTTGTTTACCTCCACCGGGTCTTACAAAACGTCTGTTAAACAAGGAGCTGGTGGTGATCAGTTGGAAGCTCAGGCAGCCAAATGTCGGGAATTGGAAGCTCCTTGGAACGTTGCGGTTAACCGTGATGATCTGCTTTTCGTCACGGACCAAAAGAAAGTGAAGGTTTTTGACAATGAACTACAGTTCATACGCGAGTTTACACCCTCCGTTGACGATGCAAAGATGCTACCAGAGAGTGACCTTACTGGTATTGCTGTGGACAAGCAACGAGTAGCAGTGGCTGATTGGGGGAGAAAAGTCATCACTGTCCACAGCTTGGGCGGATCATTGATTGCAAGTACATCGGACAACATGACTACAAGTTTCCTAGCAATGAGCAACAAAGAGCGGCTGATTTTCACAAACTACGCGGAGAAGAGGTTGATATGCGTTGACTTAGAGGGCAATGAGGTGTTCAACGTAATGCCCTTATTAAAAGGGAAACCAGCGAAACCGACAGGTGTCCTGTGCGACGATGATGGAAGCATCTATGTCGCTGTTCAGTCTGGTAACGTCGGCAATACCGAAGTGCAACGTTACGACTCGAATGGTGCATTCATATCAACAGTAGCCCAAGGGTTTACCAATCCGTTTCAAATGGCATTTTCCCCCGCTGGTGACGTCGTTGTCGCAGATCTTCACTCAGTCAAGATCTTTGAGCGGATGTAATCTACTCCACCACGGACAATCATGTCCCTCTTGTAACCAAATTCGTTCTCTGCAATAAAAAAAACTGCATGGAAAACGTTTGTTTTTAATCGAAAAAAGTAACCTGAAAACTCTCGTTTAAAAAAGGAAACCGAATAGGACATTTTTGCTGTCAATGCTCCAGACAATTAACGTGACAACTATATTACAAATGAATATTCGATTTACCTTTAATAGTGTTAACGTTCCAAATAACATTATGCTATGTCCGCTGTTATTTTGAGTGGTTTCTGTATAGTTTCCAGTTTACAGTTCTAATGTTATGCCATTTTGAGATGATATGATATGACATCTTCGAATATTCTGAGTTAAAGATGCATTCCGCCTGCTACTTTCGATTTGGTTTTTAAAAAAATGCTGTTTAGCTAGCAATATAAAACTTGATCATATTTGATTGAGTCATTGAACTAAAAGTGTACAGTCATTTAGTTAATAAATAAACTCTTCACATTCATACATACAAATTGAAAATGCGTCGAAAGAAAAGAATCCATTTTTGAAGAGCATGGGATATGCAACTTTAATTAAGTTTGTGTATTTTTCGTGAATACTTTTCTTTTTACCAATACAGGCATTTGTTTCAATAATGAATATTATAGATGTAAACAAGCTGCATGCAATTGTTCCGATGTAAATATATGTAAACAGACCGAACATCAATTTCAGATTCTTAGAATTAAACCGGAATTATCTGTTTCATTTTCCAAACTCCTTGATGTTGTGTCCATTTCGACATTTGGGAGGAGAGTTCTTAATGAAGGAACATTTAGGAATAGGTGTACAATTTCAGTTTATTTTAATTCTTTCATAGAACTCAGCCGCGTTTTTTCCTCACAGATCAGAGTATGTTTGAAAATAGTTAAAAAATGATGTCTATTCTTACTTCAAAGTGCAAACTGCTACATTATAATCTGTCCATTATTCTATAAAAATTGGGTTGCATATTGGAGTTAAATTTACACCGCCATGCTTCGTTATGTTGTAGAGGTATTGCTTTATGCACAGAGATGGGAAATGAATGAGCCACACTCTTTCCAAAATTCTTGGAGTTTCACTTTAATTCTTCACAAGACAATTCGGGTCAAATAAGCCATGGTACAAGTTTGATAAAATGTACGATGACTCAGAAATATCTGAATTTCTTGTGAATTGAAAGTGGACGACTTTGTGAGTGACTTCTGATGACTTAATTGTGATGGAATTTTGATAACGTTTGATTGACTTGTGCTGACATTTTGATCGATTCCTGATGACTTTTGTTACACATTCTGATCTTTGAAAAATTAGCAACAATAGTTTTTAGTTTTGTCGCGCAGTTCGATTACTTTTGATACATTTGATTGAACATCAATTGATATTCATATAGTACCTCCCCCTGACACATGGGCGTCGCGGGGGGGGGGGGGGGGGAGGGGAATTTCAGATTTTTTACTGATGAAACCCCCCCTGCAAAATTCCTGGATCCGCCCCTGCATGTACTTTGCCCCCCCCCCATCAAATCCTGGCGACGCCCATGGACACCACTCACCGACCAACGTCAGTCCTAATCAATTTCTAATTGGAATAAAGCCAGGGACTGTCAGCGGCGGCGGAAAATGTTGAAATATGAGCCCACTGCATAATATGAACGTTACCTGATAAAAACACTCCAATTCAAAGTAAATACGCCTCGACTACGAAGGCATGCTGTATAGATTTCACAGGACGACATTAATGAGTAAATGGAGCTTCGGTATTGAATACTGTACTCCGCACAGGGGTCTATAATGGTGTAGGTGGACTTTGGACTTGAATTAGGGCGTTTGTTCAGCTACATAAGGTGCACGACATGTATATACTTTGCGACAGAAATAGGAACTGGTTTTTCCCACGTATCACTTCACCATTCATCGCTTAATAATGTAGGCATACCTGGTACATGCAATGTTTCGCTATTGAACGGTAGTTTTGTCGTCAACGTTATATTGAGCTTACAATGCAATTGTGCTTATCGTGAAATGTAAATCTGTATTCGGAGACTTCAGCTAACAATCGAGTCAGTTTAAGAAAAAAGTAGGTAAATTTGGCCTACGTTTTACAAGATTTTGTTTTGTTTTGTATGTGAAATAGCTTTGAAAACATTCCCAAGAACGACGAATAACTTTTTAATGAAAGTGATAAGCAAATGTGTTAGCTAGGTGGCCGGAGTCTTTGGCTAGAACAACCTCCAACCCACCTCGCCCCTTCCTGCCGTACTCTAAAATTGACTGTTCTTAAATGAAATCATTTAAACGGAGTTTTTGATCTGTTTTGTTTAGGATATACCTTTCAAGATGGCAGATGCTACAGCGAAAACCGTGTTGGACAGGATCAGCCAGGGGCATCTGGAATTTCCGATCTGTTGCTGTCGATTCAAGGATCCCAAGATGCTGGACTGTCTACACAGCTTCTGCCTGAACTGTCTGGAAGAAATGATGAGCAAACAGAAGTCAGAGACAGAGAAGATAACATGTCCAGTCTGCAGGAGAGAGACGCAAGTTCCCGATGAGGGATTGCAGAGTCTTTCTTCCAGCTTCTTTTTGATTTCTCTTGTCGATGAAATAAAAAAAAACAGGAGCAGTTATTAGGGAAGGAAACTACTAATGCGTCATGTGAATCTTGTGAAGAAGGACAGGAGGCCGTATCAAGATGTCTTGACTGCAAGGAGAACATCTGCAAGAAATGCCAAGAGGCACACCAGATTCTGAAGTACACAAAAGACCATCGCATCATTCCAACAGAGGACTTGGACAAATTAAGGGTTTTACCAACAGATGTGACCAAGGCTGTCGTACCAAAATGTCGGGAGCACATTGAACAGCCTTTATGTTTTCACTGTGAAACCTGTGATATATTGATTTGCTCAATGTGTGCTGCAACAGAGCACCGGTCAGCGGAACATAAGTTCGTTGGTATAACTAACGCCATTGAATCATTTCGTGAGAGTATCAGGACTATATTGCAAAAGTTCAAAAAAAAGCAGAGAGCAATTCGCATCAAACGAAGACTCGATCAAACATGCACAAAATAGATTACAAGAGAAACTGGCTTGGGGTCGTAGCGCTATTTCTTCAAAAGCGGAGGCAGAAATCGCTAAAATCAGAAACAAAGCCGAGCTTCTCACCGAAAACCTCTACGAAATCGGTCAGGAGAGAGACAGTGAGTACGAAAATTCGCTCGTGCACAACCGTGACCAGATGGAACGTGCAGATCAGATCGTCACGGCAGTAAATGACTTGCTGAGACAAGCCGATGATTTCGAGCTTTTGGAGCTCAAGCCGAAGGTGATGCACAACTTGGAATTCCAGAAGGAGCTTAAGTGTAAACCGGCAAGGCTGGATTTAGCATTCATCGGGGTCAAATGTCAAGATGTCGTCAGTGATGCGGATCTGGGGGAAATATTGCTCGAAGAGAAATGGCAGTTGAAGGAAGAGTTCGGCAAGGAAGGCAGCGGCGACGGGGAATTCCAGTTGGCCAACAGTGTTGCACGTTTCAACAACGGGGATATTGTTGTAACCGATACAATCCGGAAACGGCTATCGTTGTTTACCTCCGATGGGCAGCACAAAAAATCGATTGATAAAGGAGCTGGTCGCAATCAGTTGCAAGCTCCTTGGGGCGTTGTGGTTAACTATGATGATCTGCTTTTTGTCACAGACATAAATAAAGTGAAAGTTTTCGACGATAAGCTACAGTTTGTTCGCGAGTTTACACCTTCGGTTAACGATGCAGAGGGACTCTCACGGAGTGCTCTGACTGATATTGCTATGGACACGCAACGAGTAGCAGTTGCTGACTGGGGAAGAAAGATCATCAGTGTTCACAACTTGGACGGATCGATGATTGCAACCACAACTAATGACATGGTTAACTATCACATAGCAATTACCGACAAGATTCAAGATCGCCTGATCTTCACAAACTACAGGAAGAATAGGTTGCTGTGCGTTGACTTTGAGGGCAATGAGATGTTCAACGTAATGACCTCACTGAACGGGAAACCAGCGAAACCGACTGGTGTTCTGTGCGATGATGATGGGAGCATCTATGTCGCCGTTCACGCCGATACATTGGGCAACAGTAATGTGCAGCACTACAACTCAGATGGTGCATTCATATCGACGGTTGCTCGAGGGTTGTACAATCCATTAGGAATGGCGTTCACCCCCGCTGGTGACGTCGTTGTCGCAGACAAACACTCCGTCAAATTCTTTCAGCGGATGTGATTTACCTGTCCAGAAACAAGGCCATGCTAGAAACTTGAAACTGGCCTGAACTAATTGCTGGAGTAATCATGTTTTCGTAAAACCTGTCGGGAACTGAATTAACTGTTTGTAGTTAATACCATCACTGGTCAATGCAGATGTGATGTACCTGTTTGGAGCTGCACTTCCCAGACTCACAACTGTAATGAAGTCGAAAGGGAAAACAAATCCGTGTACATGCAGGAAAAAGTTCATATTGTCCCCCACACGGTGTACATATACATTTCTGAAAAGAACTAGTAACCGAATGTTTCTTAACATGCTTCACATTTATGCCAACGAAATCCTTTCACTTGGAGATATTCTTTTAACAACGGACACTCTATTCTCTAAATTAAATTTATTATTACGATGTACTATGTTTGATAATGTTTATAATAAAAGTACAAGTTTTAGATATCCTAAGTATAATATAGCATCTTAATTACAGTCGATTTTGCCGATCCTTATACATTAAACGGAAATATTGGGATGATTTTAATGGTTAAATAAAATCGATATTGAAAGTGACGATACAATGTGTACATTGAACAAGTTGGCAAGATTACTGTGTAAATATACGATCGAAGATGTATCACGCATTGGACATTTTGTAAGATGTCTCTCACTTTCTACTTCTGCCTTAGGCCATTTATTCTGTCGACTAGAATTAGTTCCGTTGATCACGAAACTTTAATA